CTTTTGATCCCAGCTACGAAGGTTATCGCCAACCAAACAAGGTAGTAAGTTGCCCAATGAGCGATTCACGACCTCGGTTTTTCCATCGGTCTGCGGGTGATAAGCACTGCTAAAGTCCAAACAAGTATGTGCTAAACGCCAAAGACTACGCCAAAAATGGCTCAAAAATCTGGTGTCCCGGTCCGACACAATGGACAAAGGAAGGCCATGTAAACGATAAACCTCCCGGAAAAATAACAGAGCCACATGGACGGAGTCGGTGGTCCGCTTGCACGAAATGAAATGCACCATCTTGGAAAAGCGATCCACCACGACAAAAATCGAATCAAAGCCACGTTGAGTACGCGGCAAACCCAAAACAAAGTCCATACTCACCGCGTGCCAAGGGCGAGAAGGGATCGATAGAGGCCTGTACAACCCAGCATTAGTCGCCGAACCCTTGGACACCTGGCAGATGCGACAACGCGACACAAAACGGGTGACATCACGCCGAAGAGAGGGCCAAAAATACGACCGGCGCAGCAACTCGACCGAACGGTCACGGCCGACGTGACCAGCCCCATGCAAATCCGCAATCAGCTTGTGTCGCAAGCTACAAGCCGGAACGCAAAGTCGAATACCACGAAACAAAAAACCATCATGAAGAGCATAATCATCCCAAGGTCCGGTCGCTAGATGTCGCAAAATAGTCCTGAAAAAAGGGTCGCCACTATAAGTATCACACAGTACCTCAAAGCCGACGACGGACACACGCATATCGGTTAAAAGCAATGCACGACGGCTTAGCGCATCCGCCACCCGATTAGAAGACCCCGAGCGATGCTTCAGGATGAATGTGAATTGTTGTAGGAAGGCTGCCCACGATGCATGGCGAGCAGAAATATTATCCTGGGAGGCCAAGTGCCGCAGAGCGTCATGGTCACTGTATAAAACAAACTCCCGATGAAAAAGATAATGTCGCCAATGGCGAACAGCGCGTACCACCGCATAGAACTCCACGTCATAAGTACTGTATCTCGAGCACGGGCCCGAAAGCTTCTCGCTGAAGAATGAAATGGGCCGTCCCTCCTGACTCAAAACCGCTCCGATGCCCACCTTTGAGGCATCACATGAAAGCTCAAAAGGACGCTCAAAATCAGGCAACACCAGGATAGGGGCCGAAGTCAGCCGCTCCTTAATGAGAATGAAGGCCTCCTCGGCCGCCGGAGTCCATGTAAAGGTCTTCCCCGTGAGGCAGTCAGTAATCGGGGCCGTCGGAGAACTGAAGTGGGAGATAAACCGGCGATAAAAAGAGGCCAGCCCATGAAAACTACGAGCCTCCGTAAAAGATGTAGGCGTTGGCCACTCACGAATAGCTGTCACCTTGCTCTCATCCACTCGAATACCAGCGACTGAAATCACAAATCCCAAGAAAAGGACGGAGTCAACCAGAAACAAACACTTCTTGGGCGCCGCAAAAAAGGACTCGTGACGAAGAATAAGCAAGACGGAACGAACATGCTCCAAGTGATCAGCTATGGTACGACTGTAGATAAGAATATCATCGAAATAAACGACGACACACTTACCAATTAACTCCCGCAAAGATTGATTCATCACCCTCATAAAGGTGCTGGGTGCATTAGATAGTCCGAACGGCATAACCAACCACTCAAAAAGGCCCTCGCGAATTTTAAAAGCTGTCTTTCACTCATCCCCCGGCCGATTCGAATCTGATGATAGCCACTGCGGAGGTCCAACTTCGTGAAAACGGTCGCACCATGAAGCTGGTCCAGGAGATCATCCAAACGGGGAATCAGGAAACGATAATGAACAGTGATCTTGTTGATTGACCGACTATCCACGCACATCCTCCACGAGCTATCTTTCTTGGGAATAAGCAAAGCCGGAACCGCACAAGGGCTCAAACTCCGGCGAACAACGCCCCGCTGGAGAAGCTCCTCCACCTGTCGTCGCAACTCCTCGTGTTCCCGAGGACTCATCCGGTAATGAGGTCTGTTGGGTAGAGCTTCCCCTGGAACCAGGTCGATATGATGTTGGATGTCGCGTAAAGGTGGTAACCCTGCGGGGATGTCCTCGGGAAAAACGTCACTGAACTCAGCGAGCAATGGTCGAATGGCGTCAGGTGGCTCGCTATCACCCCCGGTCTCCGTCCCCAACAATAGTAACACGAAAGGTGCAGATTGCATCTCCAACTCAAAGGCAGCCCGAGAAAGAAAAAGAACCGGAGAAGGCGCCGAAGCCGGCAAAGGCCGTGGTGGTCCCGGGTGTAAAACCACCTTAACACCTCCAAAAAGAAAGCTGTAGGTGTTAAGTCGACCATCGTGTGTAGCAGCACGATCGTACTGCCACGGGCGGCCCAGAAGTAGGTGGCAAGCATCCATGGGGACCACGTCACACCAAATCTGATCATGATACTGGGGTCCAATGGAAAAAGAAACCAAAACGCGACGGTCCACGGTTACCGCCGTCCCTTTCTGGATCCAGGCTAGAGTATACGGCTGAGGGTGTGGTTCCGTGTTAAGCCCGAGTTTCTCCACAGCTTCCTTAGCAAAGACATTCTCGCACGAGCCCGAGTCGATAATGAACCGGCACACGCGATCACCTACAGTACAAGTGGACTCGAACAAATTATGGCGCTCCACCGGTGTGCTCGAATCCCGCGGTGACAAGCACGATCGCCGAAGAACAAGGGCCCGACCAACGTCACCCGTGAGGTGCTCTTCGACAACTTCGGGCTCATCATCAAAAATAGGTGGTCCGTCAAACATGTCCCTAGTGTCCGGAAACTCGCGGTCCTCGGCAAATAAATTACGCGAACCTGACCCCCGCGGACACGCACTGTATCGATGGCCCACTTCGCCGCACCCAAAGCACCGGAACCCGCCACCAGTCCGCGCACCCGTCGAACCCGACCCTGTCGTGTTTGAAGTACCCAGGCCCGAAGTCCCAGCCCTGCCCGAACCTTGGCCCGTGGACGAGAAACCCGCAGCCTGTCCAGTACCAATCCCACGGCCCGAACCTGTTGGCAGCGCCCCAACACCACCTCGCTGGCCCGGCACCAAACACGACGAGGACCGACGAGCTTGTTGTTGTTCCACCATAAGGGCCCGCTGATGAGCATCGGAGACCGCGTCCGGGACAAACAAGTTCAGCACGTCTTGAATGGACACCCGCAACCCGCCAATATAACGCGAAACCAATTGGTCCTCCGTGTCGCGTACATCAATGCGTGTGAGGAGTCGATAAAATTCCTCGGTGTACTCATCCACTGTGCGAGACCCTTGCCTCAAATTTTGGAATTTCTGATAAATCGTACGCCGATAATTGAATGGCAAGAACTCCTGCTCAAGATGTTTTTTGAATTTTACCCAAGATGTAATTTTCGACTTACCCATGCGATGCCGCCTCGCCTTAAGCTGCAAGAACCACGCCGCGGCTCGTCCCCGCAATCTGGTGGCGACAAACTCCACCTTTCGGTCCTCTGGAACATTCTTGAAGTTGAGGATCGACTCCACAGCAGCAAGCCAATCGAGAAACTCCGCGGCGTCGAACCCGCCCGTAAATTCTGGAACATCGATCTGAAGCCCTAACTCCCAGCGATTCTCGCCGCAGTCCCCCGCGCGACGCTCACCGCGAGGCGTCTCCCAGGCTCCATTGTCTCGGTGAACAGAACGGTACTCGCCTTGGTCGTCTCTACGATTTTCCCGTCCGTCGCCAAAAGGGTTGACATCGGAAAGGGTATCCTCGCCGTCCGGTGACCGTGGCGAACGCGGTCGACGCCCATCGACCGGCCCTCTTCCGCCACGACCTCCACGCCCTCCGCCGCGTCCACCCCGGCCCGTGGAATCGCGGTTCGTCTGGTTGCCAAGCATAAGAGTTCGAACGGCATGTCGGATTTCCTCGATCCCCTCAGAAAGACCCTCAACGCGGCGATCCACTCGCTCGATTTGGAACCCTAGATCGTCAGTGCGGCGATCCAAATCCTCGAGATGGGCATCCCGTCGTTCGTTGTCATTTCGTCTTGGCGACATCTTGAATCGTCCCGACAGCTGATACCAACTGATGCAGAAGCGTAGCAGATGAAAGGGGAAGAACACGATAAAAACTATCAATCTGAGGAATTCAATAATAATCTGTCCTCATAATAGCGTAGGGTACAGATTTTATAATGTTCCAACTTTCCTAAGCCTTCTAAACTTGCCTAACAAGCTAGGCCAAGTTATTTATTTAAATACCAAAACAACTTAAATAATTAGAAAACTAGATAAAAGGATAAATAATAAATAAGACGTAAATCAACTAGATACGAAGCCGGTCGAATTTATCCAAGAAAGCTATCGCGGCCTCGTCTCCATCACTAGCCCAGTAGGATAATTTGTTGTGAGCCCAATACTTTCGGCCACATATTCTTACACCCAAAATCGATACGAAGTTTAAAAGTTATACAAACCTGTGCATTTATAATATGTGAAATTTTTTGTACCAAAAAAAAAGGGTAAAATATACAATATCCCCTTGTATTATATGAAATTTGCGCGTTTTCCCCTCGTATTTTAAAAATTGTGTGAAACCCCATTATATTTAACTAATGATAGCACGATACCCCCCTCTCCGTCCAACTTAACGGCGCGTGCAGTACACATGCCCGCATTGCAACAATTATTCATTTTTTATCTTATATTTTTTTAGTTTAAAATGAAAATTACTATTTTGTCCATTGAAATAAAAACAAAATTCAGAAAATATCTTTGGTTCATCTTCAACATCAAAAAATAATAAAAAAAAATTCCAAAAAATGAAAAAAAAAAATTAAAACCGTATCTCCTCTGCTGCTCGACTTCGCCGAACTCAACCTTCGGTCCCTCTACCGAGCCATCATCGCCGAGTTCATCACCCCCTCGTCTACTGAACCGTGGAGATGTCACGTCCCACCCCCAGATTTCATTCAAAACCCTAGATCTGAAACGAAATCTAAAATTCTATCCCCCAAATTGTCAATGAAATTTTCAGTAGGCAGCGGTCAAGAGAAGAGTCCTCTCTCACTTTTTTGGCTCCCGGATCTGAACATGGAGAGGCCGCCGGAGAGAAGAGAGTCCTCTCTCACGTTTTTCTTCTACTCAATAATAATAATAATAATCAATAATAATAATAATCACAGGTGCACAAGTGTGTTAGAGAAGAGAGAGCTGTTGCTTGGATTTTCATGGTAGTGAAGCCGGAGACAGCGCCGCGTCGCCGGCCGCGACCGTCCATGATGCTCGTCAAGGTGTCGGGGCTCCCCTTCTGTTATGACGCCGACATCTCGATCAAGGAGGCCCTCGGCTCCCTCAGGTTCATCACCGCCACCGACGACCTCGGCAACGAGGTCTGCGCCGCCCCGATGAAGGCCCTGCCATTGTACAGATTAAGGGAGAATTCTTGTGGATGAAGTCAAATTCTTGGAAAAACTCCTCTACAGCCATAGCCCATAGGCCCCATACGCATAGACATATGTATTCTCCCAATTTGAGATCTGATTTTTATTTATTTATTTATTTTCTTTGAAACTTAGGGTTTTCACCCTTTGGGGAAGGAGAGAAAAAAATAATGAGAAATCGGTTCTCTAACTTAAATGATGGGGACATAACGGGAAGTTTGACAAATATGTAACGGTGTTCTAACTCAAACACTAGTTGGGGAACGTCAGCTAGCAAACAGTTAATACGAGGGGGTTTGAAGCAATTTTTAAATTACAGGGGGAAAATACGCACATTTAGTATAATACAGGGGGATTTGGTGCAATAAACCCCAAAAAAAAAATAATATGTGAAATTTTCCATTTTAAAAAATACACTAAAACAAGGAATTCATAATTAGACGAAAATAATCACTGCAACAACAACATACCAGCAAGCAGGGTTCCTCTCCTGTTAAAGGCAATGCATTTCATTATTCTATGCGACAAATACTCTTCAATTACTTCAGGAAAATCTCCTTGTAGTGGGTCTGCAAAAACCCAACCCAGAATACATAAATAAAAACATGTAAATAAGTATCAACCAACCCAAAAAACTGAAAAGCAAAACAACATTACCGATGATGGGGGCGTTCATTATGCACAAAGTGTTCCGATTCTTGCTTCAAATACCCGAAAAAGTTGGTGAAATTTAATGGTTGACTAACTAAACACACAGAACAAAACTACAAACTAAAGACTAACTAAAACAAACAGCCTCCTCAGCAAAAACATCCGAAAAGAACAATAGACACAACCAACTCCGAGGAGAGCTCCGAAGCTCAGGAACCTCACCCGCCACTGCAGAAGGCCTAGCAAGACAAAGACCCAAACCACAAAGCAAAACCGAGAAATCGACTTGCACACCATCGCAAGAAATCAAACGCCCCCCAACCGGCTAACACCACTAGTCAATCCGAACAATCCTGAAATTGCCTATCACCACTAGCCAATTTCAAAAACGGACGGCCTCCCGCCAACTCATAAGCTGAGAAGGAGAAGGAAGGGGGCGACAGATTTCAGAGCTCCACCGTGCCGACCCTGCCCGAAAGAACAAACTCGGCCTGAGACAACCACCAATCCACGCAGCCCGAAAGGACGAAACCCGACTCGCCTCCGGCCAAAAACGAAGAACCGCAACTGGGAAGACCTTCCAGCCCAGACAGACGGGACGCTCCGTCCATAATTCGAGCACTACCACCACACCTAGCCACCCAGGACAGACCGCGACTCCCCCACAGCCATACCATAACACACGGCAAGCTGGAAAAGAAACATAGGTTGTCGACAAAAGCTGGAAATTGGGGCAACTCGAGCAGCGACGACGCAGCAACAGAGTCGCACCATGTCACTGGAGCCGCAAACCACCCCGCCGCTCTACCCTGGGGCTCCGGCGGCTCAATCGCAGGTCGACGGCCCCAAAACGCAGAAGAATTGCAACCGCAACCACCGTCCAGAGAGATATATGAGGGAATCGCGGATAGTAGCGAGGGTGCTCAACGGTGGGCAGTCCACCGGCAAGCCGGATGGACGCCGAGAGAGGCGCAGGAGGCCGGCAATGGAAGCTAGGGTTACGAGAGTGAAAGAGAGAAAGGGGGGAGACGATGAGAGACAGAAAGGGCAGCCTTAACAGTTTTCACTGCCTTATATTTAAGAATTATGCTACTTAGTCAACCTCCATTACAACTTGGTTTACAACCATGTGTAATGGAGGCATTAAAAAATGCAATAATGCACATTTTTCAATGTCTCCATTACACATGGTTGTAAACCATGTTGTAATGGAGGATGACTATTTAGCATCACTCTATATTTAATGTGGAAATTAACCTACCATATTTTCTGATTACTTAAATAACATTAATATAATTTTTTAATATGGTATAGTTTATTTGGTGTATATAGAAGGTTGGTTCCACTATGGAGCCAACTGTTGGCTTCATAGCAAAACCGTAATTTCTAATAGCTAATGCCATTTAATATTGGTATTAATTAATATATCACATCCACAATATCTAAAAATATGAATCGTAATTGTTGATGCTCAAAAATGTCAGCAACATTGTTCGAACTGCGTACTCAAAGACACACTCGGTTCGGTCTGCACAAATAGAATTATATGGTGTATTCGAAATGGATACTCGTTCTATCCGTGACTTTTCTTTACATTATCCATGAGAAAATATAAGAAATGAACTCAATAAGAATCAAAAGAATGAAGAACAAGAGATGAGGATAAAGTATACTTTTATTGATAATGCTTTTTTGGGAGTTGAATGCCCCCTCTCTCCTGCGGACATCTCCTTTACGAGCTTGTCTCTTTTTTTTATCCCTTGTTGGAGATTTTATTTGGATAAGACTAGATCCTCTTGGATTCTTTTGGATCCTCAAGTACATATACACATCACATCACAATATATGGACATCAATTAATATGGAGTAAAATAATACAAATGATATTTTAATGTGTTGTATTTTTATTTAGTCGTAGCCAAATTGGGTACCAACAAGAGGCCCCCGAGTTTAGGGCATGTTCTGGGTAGAACTGTTCTAAAGTCGCGTTATTATACGATTTGGCATGTTTTTATCTACAACATTTTGAGCTTAGAGCTCTTTTACGCTATGATAAATGATGCTTCTTGAATGAATACGTGTTGGTATGCGATTTCTGGGTGCTTTGGGACCCATGTATGCTTTGTCGATTGGTTTCAGGCTTTGGCCTGATGAATTCACGTTAGTCGTGCACTTCTACACTTGACGAGTGCGAGTCGATGAAATGGATGAACGATTCTTCTGGAATTGCTATTGAATGAGACCTAAATGGCCTGGTTGGGTAATTTGGTACCCATTTATGCGTTTGTGCCATATGACGTGCTTGTTTGATTTTGGTCGTTGTAATGATGGCAATGGAATGGATTTGTGTGGGCACTCGGGCCCCTTGGATTCTTAGCGATTCGTACGAGATGTTCGTTGATATGATTGGTTTGTCGATTCTAAGTTAGCCGTCTTTGTGGCTTTTTGTCGCATTGGGGCGACTCGAAAATTAATTTTTGTGATTGTTTTATTCATTTATTTTTTATGTTGACCTGGTCGAATAATTTAGTATCCGGTCTTTGGCCTTTGGATTGTACTCTTGCAGAGTCATTTTATTTTTCGTCGGACACTTTTTGTTGTTCGGACTTACCCTTATAGGGTTTTATTAGTTTTCGCTGGGTAACTTCATATTGTCCGATCGTTTTACCCTACTTGGGGTTTCATTATTTTTTACCGGATGACCTTAAGTGATCCGGTTATTACCCTACTTGGGGTCGTTTTATTTTTGAGTGGACAACCTTAAGTGGTCCAGTACCGGACGACCTTAAGTGGTCCGGTTATTACCCTACTTGGGGTCATTTTATTTTTGACTAAACAACCTTAATGGTCCAGTACCGGACGACCTTGAGTGGTCCGGTTATTACCCTACTTGGGGTCATTTTATTTTTGACTGGACAACCTTAAGTGGTCCAGTACCAGACGACCTTAAGTGGTCCAGTTATTACCCTACTTGGGGTCATTTTGTTTTGAGGAAATAGCTATTTTCACCCCGTTCTGAAGTCATACTAAGTTTTTCACACCACCCAATATAAAGCTAAGTTTTTCACCCCAAAAAGTACGAAGACATATGCGATGAACTATGCGCTAAATAGGCGACAGGTATGAGCAAGGGCGAGAAAATTATGAGTTAAATTATGCGACTGTTCTACGATGAATATTCGGAGATTCGATGTACGATTCGGTCAATCGCGGTCCGTCGCCCATTAAATAATTATTTTTGTTAGGCAAATGAACTGCGACTATTAGTCGAAAAATTATTCTGCGACACAACTGTGACATGCCAATGTCGCATATTATTCGCGAAATTAGTGCATAATAAGTTTTTTCGTATTTCTTTCATCTTTCAGTTATGCGAGGCGGTATGCGAATTACCGCATATTGCTAGCATACCCCCTTCGCACTTCTACTCGAAAGTGTATTTTTTATTTATTTTTTTATTTCTTTCATCTTTCAGTTAGTTCAGTTATGCGATGGGGTATGCGAATTGCCGCATACTACTCGCATACCACCTTCGCACTTCTACTCGAAAGTTTATTTTTTATTTCTTTCATCTTTCTGTTATTTCTGTTATGCGATGGGGTATGCGAATTCCGCATATTGCTTGCATACCCCTTTCGCACTTCTACTCGAAAGTTTATTTTTAAAATTTAAATTTTTGAATGGTTTAGAAACCGCTGGCAGTTGGAACGTTACGACCGATTTTGAGGCGTCTTATCCGCTTTTCAAAACGCCTGGGCAGTAAAAGCGTGCACACAAATTGTTTTATCCATCTATATAAAGCGTGTAATCTTCGATCCATATAATGCCCTCCGTTTTTCCCTTTTCTTGTATATGAGAAGCAGTTCGCCGGAGATAAACCAGAGTTACAAAAATTCTTTCTTTCGACCCGTGAGGCAATTTTTTAACATTACTGTGTCCGATTTGAGAACTCCTAACCTTTCGAATTCGTCGGAGGAAAAAATTCAACGAGCATAAATTCCGCTATCCAACTTTATTAACTTGGCCCCAGTATGAAACATATATGCCGAGACAGCGACGATGAAGATCAAACCTCCGGGCTCGGGTATTTCCGTATCAACTGTGAGAAGGTTGAAGGTCGGAACGTTGCGCGTCGGGGCCCTCTGTCAGAGGCAATGCTGGCCTCAACCTCTCTAGGTTTTGGTCGGCCAGGTTTTCCTGACAGAGGAAGGTGTTTGGTCGGCGGGGATCTCTTCCCGGAACCCGGCAGAGCCCATCGGTTCAGAGCGTGGTGGTCGGGGCCGATCTCATGCTGGAGTTCTACATGGAACTCCACAAACAAGCTCCACCTACAGCTCATCTTCCTGGCGTCTGAGTGCTGT